GAGTGCACTCTTAAGGCTTGAAGAACATTGCAAAAAGGCCCATCGTGGTGGATACATTCTCCACCAAAGATCAAGAATGTGCCTTCCATCAAACCATCTGCGACATCGCCATAGAAAAATTTCCAAAAGCCGCAAAAGCACCCCTTGTACTCGGCAGAAACACAGGCAGCGCCCAATCAACCTCGATCAACGCGCATGCAAGCTGCCTGCACGACCTGTGCCACGACGAAGAATTCGATGCCTACGATATCTGAACTGTCCATTCTGCAAGGTGTTTGAACCTCGTTTGTTCTTCACAAGAATGCCGGCTGCGATTTCCGCTATCTCCACGTCCAAAGCATTCTTGTGTTATCCAGGACGCAACCATCAGCCTCGCCCACCAGAACTCCTGCGTTAACCGGACTGCTGCACTCTTTCCTGAAGTTTTGCGAGTTTACGGAACACCACGGGCCATGAAACCAATTGTGCATTTTGACATTTGTGATTTCTCAACCTCTCCTTGTGTACTCTTTCTTGTTCGTAATCCATGCCTTCTTTCGGGGGGAGGGGGAATCGTGTGACGTATGAAGCGATGATTGGTAGAAGCCGAGAAGGAAGAAGTGAGATTAGAATAAACATGGCGTATGAGCCACGCCACGTCGCTCATTCATCATAGCGTCACACAGTGTGTGCAGTTGACGGCTCTCGCTTGTTCATTAAAAGGTACGTAGGTATGTTTGTTTTATGCTGAATTGATTGGTAAACGATAAAGTCGCCTTTTACTTGACAAGTGTGCAGATTTAAAGCGCGAGAACCGAGTTGAAAAAATTTTCGAAAATTTTACCCCGTGTAATTGGCGCACCCCTAACTTCGAGCCGGATTTTCTGAAAAAAAAGTGCGCCTATTATGCGAGTAATACGGTATATATATATATATATATATATATATATATATATATATATAGATATTATAGATATATATATATATATATATATATATATATATATATATATATATATATATATATATATACGGTGTGACCAGTGGAACGGTTGTGCAGAGCGAGCAGTTGATTTTTCAATCAAGAATCGCTAGCAGACGCTTCCTGCGTCGGCGTTGGAGGTCAGAGAGGGGAGAGCGTGCGAGAGGAGAGCAGGGGAGGTGATACGCATGTGCTATGGGGTGTAAACGTTACAGGGAGGGATGCCTAGAGGAAAGAGAGGGGGAGCGAGTGTATGCTAGCAGACACTGCCTGCGTCAGCACTGCGAAGCAAGAGAGAGGGCAGCGTGGGAGAAGAGAGACCGAGGAGCGCAATGCGCAGCAGATTGATCACGCCGCACATTGGATTGAGCTATACCATAAGAAACTTCGCATTTAAAATTGACTAAACTGGCGCACTTAGGGTACTTGATGGCTCTTATGCAAAGTCGACTGTCATGTCGTTAACATCGGAAGAGTTTATCCGAAACATCCGTAATAAACTTTGTAAGATGAAATCCGTAACTTGTAAAAAGCTTCGCTTGAAAATTCAGGCTTCAAATATATTGGTAAGATTTTATATGACAAGGATTGTGGGGGTGCTAGCATCCCTGTAAAGTTGTGGCGCGCCTCGTGGCACACATGTTTCGCACATAGGCCGCACTTCGGGTTCAGGACTATCGAGCAGTAGGTGGCGTTGTGCTCGCGAGCGTATTAAAAAACGATAGCCTTTCTTGGGGACCTTCCACGCAAACATTTTGGTCGGTCTGTCTGTAAATTCGTTTCTTTGTTTACCTCTTAAAGGGGCCCTGCGATACTTTTTCGACTGCTTTATTTAGCGCTGGCATGCATGTAGTAACGAATGCCGAGATAAATGAAACAAGAATGATGCAATTCGGCGCACAAAAAACGAAGTTATGAGTTCTGAAAGTTTGAAACTCGAGCGACGACGAGAAGAAATGTTCCCTTTCGCATTTCACTTTCCCGCTGACGTCAAAGAGCGCTTCCAATGACCTGCGCGCGTCTCATAAAAGCATACCGGAAACGTCATGCCATGGTGGCTTCCCACAATATCTTGGTACTGCTCTTTTTGACGGCGTCGTTACCATAGGTTACGTCGAACCACGTGCGTCGGGTAGCAGGACGCTCCCATGGTCTGTTGTGCAAGTAGCACACTTTTCGACTTGATTCGCCTTCGAGACCGAGCGCCCGTAGCCACAACTGCCTGTCGTTCATTGCTCGTTGGCAGCCAGTGAAACGATACGTCAGCAGGACTGTCGCCATTGCTCACGCAGCTAGCAACTGCGCTTCGAAGTGCGCACCATACAACACGCACGCAGGCGATTGCACGGGTGTGCGTGGCAATACACAACTTTCACCGAAAGACCAAGCTGTGAGGAACAACCAGCGAGTGCACACCACCAAGACAACACCGGAAAAGGGAAATCACCGGAACGGATCGTCTCTAGCCCCTAGTCGAACAGGACACTTAGTGTTAGCTTCGTAGTTCTGAAACGCAGCGTTATTTAGAAAAATAACTTCTTTCTTTTTGAGAAGCTACTAAAAGAGAGTTTCGTCGTTTTTATTTACTCGTATGCTTATTCGCATGGCCTAGCTACCATCGTATTTATTATTTCACGCTACTTGTCGCGTCAAGCCAATCAAAAATGAACGGTCATTGTCGTCACTGTCACATGACACTGATGTAACTTCCCATAACAAAAATAGCCGATGTGTGTCGCCATGTCCGAAATCAAGGTAGTTTGTCGCGTGAATTAAAATTATAGCAGGTTCGATTTCGGCGTTGCCACTTGCGCAACGACATCAGTGCATTCACGGAACCAGAAAGACCGATAAAAAATACGTGCTCAAAATGTGTCGCTAGGGTCCCTTTAACGGTACCGGGTACTCTAAACGGCATCAGACGATACCCCGAACGGCTGACCCCATCCGCAGCGCCCACCAATGTTGCTCAAGATTCAGCGTTCATACTTGTGCGATTGTCAATTAAAAAGGACTTATTGCGCATGTCTGGGGCACCATAACCACACTATATATTCTGCATGTACGTCTTTTGCTAGAAAAGGCATACACAAGTAATTCTAAGAACCGTAGCGCTTATCACGCTGCACTGAGCATGCAACGCTTGCACGAAAGGACGAGTGTTTCCAACGCTTTGCTAAAACGACATGGTGGTGGCACCTAACCCGTCGTATTGCGTTCTACACCTTATCACCTCTGAGATGGGCGCGCACGCCTGTCTCAGAGCCACGCACTTCGTTTTTCAAGAAAAATGCCACGTGGTGCTCATGCCTCACGTGCGACGTGATTTGATGTGCTCGTTCGCCTCCGCCGCACGCTCGAGGCACTCTAACGCAGCGCCTCCGGAGTACCATTCACCGATTTTCTTGCGTAGAACATCAAATAAATGTTTTGTTCACTCTCTCCACACGCAAGACTATTGTCTTTCGATGACATTTAAAGAATAAAATGCAGATACGGGGTCAATTTTTTCACCACTATCACCATCATGGTTAGTGCGTAGCGCCGGCAGTGACGCCTGGTGGTGGCCTTGGAGGCGATGCTCGAGATATGAGCGGTCCTCTTAGGCGGGTGGCGGTCGGTACGAATGGTTGTCTCTCGCGTGGGTCCCCGGTGCGCGGCACCGCGGGTTGCGCGCCGGGGCCTTTTGTCGTGAGTCAAGCGCTGGCGAAGACGCCTTGCGTGTGTTCTTCTGGTTGTCATGTTGTTGAGTAATATTGTGTCAGGTTGATGATATAATGATTCCGCTGACGATATCGTTGTTCTAAATGCAAGTAAATAAATGTGTGTTGTTTTGGTTTGTTACGACCACGTCTGCTGTGTCCATGTTCTGAGAGCGTGTCTCTCTTCATTTCGACAACTCACGAGATTTTCCGCAACTCACCATGCTTTAGAACAAAATTATTCAGGTTGTACGTAAGATGTTCTCGCAGAACTAATAGAGGGGACATTAGGCATTCAGGATTTATTGACGGGGCACTTCGCAAGCCCTAGGGCTCCACCTTACTTCGAGTACAGCGCAATAACAACGAACTAAAAGAAGGTCGGCAAAAGACGGGCTGGCGCTACTGAGAGGCAGTTTATTTGAATCAAACTCATTAAGTCAATCTACATATAATGGTTTTGTGCAGATGCAATATCGCGTTAGAAAAAAATTCGCGCATAATTGAATGGTGCTCTGCAGTTTTTGTGCAAACATCAATAGAATGGAACGATCTTCCTGCTGACGTCGTGCACCACTCTAGCATCGCCCATTTCAAAAAAGCCATCGAACAAATCTGTTTGTGAACTGTGTACCCCCTCATGTAACACCCCTTCAATTGGGTCCTTGAGGTAATATAAATAAATAAATAAATAAATACTTAATGAAATGGTCGTGATGGAGTGAAGCAGTATGCATCGAATCAAGAATCGCGGCTTTCTGTTTGTTCTGGTAAACAGTCATTTATTTTGTTCTCTCCTATGTTTTGATTGATGCGTGGGTAAATGTCGATGTTTTCAGTGTTGCTTTTCGATAACATTTTTTTTTATCACAAATGTTTCAGTTTCAACATTTTATGGACGGCAGGACGTTGTGGGGTATTAAGGCGCTTCGTCCTTAAAATAACTGAATACCCGATACTGCTTGCAGCATATGAGATGCAAACTATTTCTGAGTACAAGTAAGAAAGGACGTCAAAAGCAAATAGAACCTTGGTGATATGAAAAATCCCCTGAACACGGCGTGTCACTGAAGCAAACGTGTCAACAAGCGAACCTGTCATTTTCAAGGCTGCAACTGCCCAGCTTTCGTGTTGCGGGCGGCCTTCAAGAAAATAGCGGAGACTGCAGCACCGTCACTGTCTCTCGCGACGAGGCTAATGCAACGGCGCCTGCGCGGGAAAGGGTGATAGGAGCGGAGAAAACGAGAAAGTAAAGAGTGCTCGTCGTTTTCGCGCTAACTTTTTCAGTGCTAACGAACAGCCTACAAAGTCCAACAGCCTGTTCGGCTTAAAGTTACCCTGAGACTCTGGCGAAGGTTTCTTGAGCGTCGCCCGAGTCGAACGACTGGCCGAGCTTCTCCGCCAGGGTGTAGCCCTCGGTTACGTACAGCAACGGGGCGGCCGGCCTCGTAGATGAACCGCACGTGAACAGCGTGTACACGCCAACCTGCAGCCGCAAGGTGTCATTCAAACCCGACGTCCCTTACGCAGTTCTTTTTAGGACGAAGAATTAGAATTCAGCAGGACTTGCTCCATTATCGAGTACGGAAATCGGATAGCGTTAAGCGAGAAACATCGTTTTACAGCTAGGCTAGGCAGGCGCGCGTCACGGAGCTGCTTTCGCCGTGGATGGATGCTATAGGAGTGAGGCCTACTATAGCCATCTTGTGGTGTATTCAGGCGTTAACAAAAAATGCGTCTCTCCAACCGGTAACCTGCCTGCACCCACCTGCAGGGACTGTCGCACGAGGTAACGCACCACGTCGAAGAAGCTGGAGGCCTTCATCAGTTGCGAGATGTCGAGATAGTTCTGCGCGTCAATCAAGGCGTCCTTCAGCTGCGCCGGCTTCGACATGTATCGGTAGCAGCTACTGCGTGTGAACCAGAAAGAAAAGCAAAACAACGACGCAGCTGTTTCCTCGCGTCACAAATCGAAGTGTGTGTGCCATGTCAGATTATATATACACAAGAAACATTACCCCTATACACTATCAGAAAGCGAACTTGCTTAAGACAGCATGACCTTTCGTTCATGTTTATCTTATACCTGCCTTGCCATCAAATTTTGGTACATACCGAGGTATACCGAAAGGGCCACGAGAACGCCGGAATGTTGACAGACAGACAGACAGACAGACAGACAGACAGACAGACAGACAGACAGACAGACAGACGGAAGGACAGACAGACAGACAGGCAGGCAGACAGACAGGCGGACGGATGGACGGACAGACAGATGGACGGAAGGACGGAGAGACAGACAGACAGACGGACGGACGGACAGACAGATATACAGACAGACGGACGGACGGACAGACAGACAGACAGACAGACGGACGGATGGACGGACAGACAAACAGACAGACGGACAGACAGACAGATAGATGGACGGACGGACAGACAGATATACACACAGACGGACGGACGGACAGACAGGCAGACAGACAGATAGACAGACAGACAAACAGACAGACAGATAGATAGACAGATAGACAGGCAGACAGACAGATAAACAGACGGACGGACGGACGGACAGGCAGACAGATAGGCAGACAGATAGACAGACAGACGGGCGGACGGACGGACAGACGGACGGACAGACAGACAGACAGACAGACGGACAGACAGACGGACAGACAGGCAGACAGACAGACAGACAGACAGACAGAAAGACGGACAGACAGACAGACAGACAGACGGATGGACGGACAGACGGACGGATGGATGGACAGACAGACGGGCGGACTGATGGACAGACAGACGGGCGGACGGACGGACGGACGGACACAGACGGACGGACAGACAAACAGACAGACAGACGGACAGACAGACGGACAGACAGACAGGCAGACAGACAGACAGACAGACAGACAGAAAGACGGACAGACAGACAGACAGACAGACGGATGGACGGACAGACGGACGGATGGATGGACAGACAGACGGGCGGACTGATGGACAGACAGACGGGCGGACGGACGGACGGACGGACAGACAGACAGGCAGACACAGACGGACGGACGGACGGACGGACAGAAAGAAAGAAAGAAAGACAGACAGACAGACAGACGGACAGACAGACAGAGAGACAGACAGACAGGCGGGCGGACGGACAGACAGACAGACGGACAGACAGACAGACAGACAGACAGACAGACAGACAGACAGACAAAACGAGGCTAAACGAAAGGTGGCACAGCCGGACTAGAGGAGCGGCACGCACGCATTCTTTTACGGCCTGCGCTTCATGTCTAGTTCCCACCTTTCACCGCCGCTATTTCATGGCAGTGCGGTCCAACTCTCGCTAAACCTTGCTAAAACCAAGGAGGTTGCGCCCAGTGAGTCTAACGTGGCAACCCTTTCTCACCAGATAGTGATCAAAAGTGCGTCCTCCTGTTACTAGTTTTTTTTTTCGAAAGCATAAAATTCAAGGCAAGTTTTATTGGATTTCAAGTCACCGATACTCGTCTCTATAGGTTGTTTCATCAGAAACAACTATATTTTAAAAATTACTTATGATTATTGTGCGCGGGTTCGCTCCTCAATTCAAAAGTGCGCGCCTGCCGCTCCTCTACTCTGTCCGTGAAGGTCGCTACCTATTACTACGATGACGACAACTACTACATACATAGCGGACGCACGACCGACGGCTTGAGGAGCTTCGCTCCTAAAGAATCAAACACTGGTGTATTCCTCTTTCTATAATCATTGTGTCGGTGTTGCGCTGTAGTTCACGATGTATCACCAACTCGTCCAAATTTTCACGTTACTGCAAAAGCTGGCGCACACTAACGACGCTTGCTTCAGGCAGTGAATTTTTGAGGGGTCACCTCAACACAGACGGGATTATGGTGGAATCTTGACAGCCGTACGTGAAAAAGCTGTATACTGTAGCATGGTCCTCAATAAGTTCATTTTTGATCAGCTTACAGCGCACGAAAGGACGAGCACGCAAATATTATCACCAACTAGTTGAGATTCCCATTCTCGGTCTATATGTTGATCTCGTGCATAGGCGAGCGAACTCACCCACGAGTCCGCTCACTCGGACTCGCTTAGCCTCAGATCGATCCCCGAGTGAGTCCGGCTCAGGAAAGTGTCCGGGTGAGTCCAAAGCACGAGATATATTTCCTGAGTGAGTCCGAGCGAGTTCCACTCCTGTTTGCCGACCTATGAACTCATGCATACAGCTCGAGTGCTTGCCTGTATATGGGTCTGAGGAGGTGCATCCCCTGGCGTATCTCCTCCTTGCGCTTGATGATCCGCGTGTGAAGGAGCGTCGTGTTAAGCCTAAAGAGGGCTCCAATCGACGCGTCGCCGTGGAAGCTGCCTCCCTTCGCCTGCCACGAGCCGCACACGTAGCCGTAGAAGTCGGTGCATGGGTCCCGGGTGTCGTTCAGCAGGCTGTCCAAATACTGCTTGGCTTCCTGGCATTCTGCGCAAGCGATAGGCGCACCGGCGGATGCTATATTATTGGATAACCTTTCCATCTAGCGCCTTTATAAGTTCACACTGCGACCCGATGAGAAATATGTAAACAGAGGAAGCTTTTCTGAATATTTTGCTGCATTGCGCAAGCAACGCTGTCGACGCATGAGACTGCCTACAAGAGGTGGCCAGCCGCAGTGCGAAATACACGCTATGGATTCAGCGCTGTCAGTCAATTTCAATGTTGTGCCCCCATGTCCCATAGGTTCGTGCACCTGAAGTGGTGTTTCACTACCTTCCGGTTCACGGTAAGTTGCTAGGATGATGTTCTGAAAGTCGTGTCGGTGCCATTTCGATCGAGGCAGAATGGTTTAGGCCCGTGTACCTAGACATAGGTGCACGTTGAGTAAACCTAGGTGGTTGAAATTTCCGGGGCCCTCCACTGCGTGGCGTGTTGCACAATCAAATCCTGGGCTTTAGCTCTTAAAAGCCCATACGGTTCCGTTGCTGGTATTAACCCACCATTGACCGGGCAACAATATCGGTTGATGACGTCATGTTGACGTTAGAAATTTAGATGAGTGTGTGGCGTATGATGGCACAGCATGACGCCATGATGGCGTCACACATTTCATCTGTGAGTTGATGAAGTCACATGACGTCATCCAGTTAACTCATCGCTCGCTCGGAGAAGGGCGAGCGGGTATTAGAGGTGGCCCGCGCATGTCCCGAAAAGGAGAGCGCCGGCAAGGCCACCTAAGGCTTTTCGCTCAGAAATGGCAGTTTGGCAACATTAAGTGGCGGCGGCTAAAAGGCTGCTCCTGCTCTAGAGTCAGTTAGATACAGCCCCATGCTCAACGTGCGTATTCCCCCCAGCCACTACGCTCGCTGGCCCCACCACGGTGGTCTAGTGGCTAAGGTACTCGGTTGCTGACCCGCAGGTCGCGGGATCGAATCCCGGCTGTGGCGGCTGCATTTCCGATGGAGGCGGAAATGTTGTAGGCCCGTGTGCTCAGATTTGGGTGTACCTTAAAGAACCCCAGGTGGTCGAAATATCCGGAGCCCTCCACTACGGCGCATCTCATAATCATATACCGTATTTACTCGCGTAATCCTCGCACTCGCATAATTCTCGCACCCCCCCCCCCCACATCGCCCCCCAAAAATACGATTTTTTTTTCTCGAGTAATTATCGCACCCCCGAAAACTGCTGCAATAGTGTCGTCTGCTCGTTCCAGTCATTGATGATGATAGCGCACACCATCTGGCGACTTCTCTTAAGCATCAAGCGTACTATTGCACGAAGATCTAATCCAATCCAAGCCGAAGTGGTCAGTGCGCGTCACGGCGTGTTTTGTGTGTTGAGTCGGTAATCTTGGCACGTTATGGGGTGACAGTGAAGCCACACGGCTGCTTCAAGTTGCAAGTGATAGATCATGCGCCAAACAACGGCAACAGGGCCGCCGGTAGGCCCTTCGGAGCCTACGAGTTTTGTGTTTGCTACTGGTGACTGCAGCTGAAAGCCACCAAGACGCATTGGGCCTGCCGTGTGCCTAAAACTGGGATTGATGGTAAACTTTATTTCTGGAGAAGGGAACTGCGGAAGATTCTGTTAAATAGCCATCAGCCCAATACTGACGTCCTACGCTTACCTTTTGAGGGCTCCTGTTGAGCGCCGACCGCTATCGCTACGCCCGCAACGCCCGCAAGCTCCGCGTATGGTATTCTGATTCTCGACTATTTGCTTTCACTTTTTGTGTTTCAAATAAATCTTGCCTTGTGTTGAACATCTGCTTTTATTGTTGAGGTAAGTTCTAATTAGTACTTCTTAAAGGTTGCTATAAGGTCCTTTTGTGAGAATTCCGATTTGCGGCCGCTTCGTTTTCTTTTTCGCTCTTTGCGTTTTCGTAAAAAGTTTTCCCCACGTAATTCTCGCACCCCCCAACTTTGCATCGGTTTTCTGGCAAAAAAAGTGCGAGGATTATGCGAGTAAATACGGGGGGGGGGGGGGTTAGTGGTTTTGGGACGTTACACTCCACATATCAATCAAAACTACGCTCGCTGATTGAGTAGCAGACGCCTGCGCAGTCATCTGGGGCCTCTGGCTAAGTCAGTGACGCCTAATTTGTTGAAATTAACACAGAAAACATAACTGCGGTGCTGATAATAACGTAACCATAGCACGATGTTGTGGCCCATGAGCTGAGCAACAATTATATCTCAGCGGATGCCACCCAAAATGCAAAAAAAATGACCGCAGGGTGGCGTCAGAACAAGTGGTGCAAAAAATCATGACGTCAGAGACCGCTAAACTATGGCCCGTCACTTAGATTACATATAACGTGACGTCATGTGTTGACGTCCACCGCAGTATGATGATGATGATGAAAAACATTTATTATAAAAGAGAGAAGAGAGAGGTACGGGGCCAAAGCATGACCCTGCTACATGGTCGGCGTCCTTAGTCCGGGACACTGCATGACGAGGCCCCTACTCGCGCCCGTCTCACTAGAGCCCGTTGAGACTCTAGTGATGAGCAGTTGAGGAGGGCAGTCTCCCATGCCTCTCGGGAAGGGGTAGGAGAAGGGGGTAGGTGGGGATTTTTCGGACATGCCCATACCATGTGGAAGATATCACACGTCTCCCCACAGTATGGGCACCGCCCATCTGTGTTCGCATCGAAATGCTTTAGGATTGCAGGACAGAGTAGAGTACCTGTCTGCAGGCGCCTTAGAGTTCGCTCTTCCGCCTTACTCAACCCCTTTGCAGGAGCCGGGTAAAGGCGGTGAGTGTCACGATAATATGTCAGAATTTCTTTGAACCGCAGCAGCGGTGTATTGGCCTCCGAGTCATAGGAGCCAAGGTGAGGAGCCCGGTGGGTAAGCGCTCGGGCGGCCGCGTCAGCGGCCTCATTACCTCGTAAGCCCTGATGGCCAGGAGCCCATACGATGTGTTTCGGGGCTGGATCAGCGAGAGCCCGTTTTAGAAACCGCAGTATGTTGCCGATTGGTCAAGTGTGGGCCGATGCCTGAGGTATTGCGAAACTGGGTAAAGCGCAGAAACATTACTGAGGAGGTGACTAGTACGTGAACTGGGGAGAAAAGGCGACTGTTGCCTCGTAGTCGTCTTATGCGAATGCATCAGAGGCACATTGAGTTTATTTCATTGTTACCTCGATATAAATTATCTGGATGCCTTCAGCGGGTGGTTGCCGTTCGCCGTCGCCGTCATGTTCCGCATAAAATCCAAATTGATACTTTCGCACCGTGAATCACATGTACCAGCGTGTCAATTAACGCGCGCAAAAGCGGGAGCCAAATGCGGCTGAAACAGAGACGAAGACTATCGGCGTCACACGAGGGGTTAATGCGATAACACCGTCTTGCACACGAGGCCTGATGTGATCGGTTGCCTCTCAAGCGGAGGGAAAACGCTCCGTACATATTTCGTCCGGCAAATGTGCTTGAAGGCTTGCCTAGAAATGGGGGGTGGTGGAGTTGGTGCTGCTTTGCTCGAGGAGCAATGTTGAACTTTGATCAGAAATGCGTGTTCGGGCGCGCTATTTCAACAAACATCAGTAAGTTGCTCATATATGCTGTGTTATTAACTGCCACTTCCATTGCGTTCAGGCAACAGCCACGATGACAACAACTACTTACCCCGGAGCAGCCGTATTCCCTTGCAGAAGCAGTTTTGAGAGTTATGCGAGATCAAATTCAAAAGAATTAGTGGCTGGCCTTGCTGCGGATAACATTAAAATGTGTTGCTATCACATTCCTGGCTTCGCCCATGCCTCAAAACTTCATTTTTCATATGTGAATATGACGGCGAAATTGCGACATTTCGTTCACACATTCCCAAATGAATGATTCAGTCGTCCACCATTCTTTCGCGGCGTGTTTCAAAATAGACTCGCGTTGTCGCGACGCACCGTCGGTGATGCACGCGACTCCCTCCGGTATGTTGGTTCCTCCGAGGAAGAACACGAACATCAGGATTGCCATGAAGATGAAGAGGAATGCGGCGACCGCCCACACCAGGAACAGCGACATCTGGTCCTTGCTGCTCAGTGTGGTCTCCGTGTCGCTTTTAGAGCCGTCCACTGGAATCGCGCGTTTAGTGCCGGAGGCTGAAGCGATCAGCGTGTTCCGAATAGTCGGTCGCTCATGATTTATTAGCGGTACTTTGAAGAGCAACCTGACTTCTCGCGTATCATTAAAGTACCAATTTTACGATACCGAAAACACCACCGCCACACGAATCTTCACGGGCTAGAAAACACGCGAACAGAAAATGCGGGTGTAGACGCCACATTGAGATTACCGTGACAAATATTGTGACGTCATAACATTTGAAAGCGTCTCCTTTGTCCTACGTAGCTTCTAATTGATAATATTAAAGTGCATTCATATTTGTAAGTGTCATAGACCTAGAATACGAAGCTTCAGAAATTTTCAATAAACCATGCTCTGTCGCAAAATACAAAAAAATAAAATTTTGAAATTTGAGAAATCGCGGGCTGAAGTACTGTTTATGAACCTAAACCAAGTCATTGTTTTCACTTTAATGTGCCTTTTACAAAAAGAACTTCTGCAGCAAGACACAAGAAGAACGCGACCGACACAAGCGCGATCATCCGAGTGAATTATATGTGGACACACATTTATAGTGGTAACTATGCGCTTTTTACACTGCACTCCAACGAATTACGCCACAAAAAAGTGGGGACAGTTCCCGAGCTAACAAAATAAAAGCGTCATTTGGATTAAAAAACGATGAATTTGTATGGAAGATTTTTCCTCTCGCCTATTGCCCTGTTCAAGGATGGCTTTTTCTATCCAGATGAAGCGTGCGAAAGTGACAGGCGAGAAAATTTGCACTCGTGCCGCACGACTAGAAATACAAAAAAATAAAATTTTGAAATTTGAAAAATCGCGGGCTGAAGTACTGTGTATGAACCTAAACCAAGTCATTGTTTTCACTTTAGTGTGTCTTTAACAAAAAGAACTTCTGTAGCAAGAGACAAAAAGAACGCGACCGACACAAGCGCGATCTTCCGAGTGAATTATATGTGGACACACATTTATAGTGGTAACTATGCGCTTTTTACACTGCACTCCAACGAATTACGCCACAAAAAAGTGGGGACAATTCCCGAGCTAACAAAATAAAAGCATAATTTGGATTCAAAAGCGATGAACTTGAATAGAATATTTTTCCTCTCGCCTATTGCCCTGTTCAAGAATGGCTTTTTCTATCCATATGAAGCGTGCGAAAGTGACAGGCGAGAAAATTTGCACTCGTGCCGCATGACTTGTACGTTCAAGGTTATTACAGTAAGGCTACGCGAATATTCGAGTTTCGAATTCCAACTGAATAGTACCTTACCCAACAATCTGCCGTGACTTTAGCATAGTGATTGTATTCGAAGGATCGAATAATTCAACAGGAGGAATATCTAAAACGCGACCAAGGCCTCCTCCATTTTTTTTCAATGCCAGTCAATGCCAGTAGCCTCCATTTTTTTTTCAATTGAGTCTGTCACCCCCCCCCCTAGCCCTTTCCTACTCTCGCCCATTGTCTATCCTTCACGTGTGCTTCGTTCATGGGGGAGAGTACCCTTTTGGCGATTCCTCACGACGGAAATCATAGAAGCAATTTTTCGTTCAGTTGAGTACAGATCCGCGGGGCAGCGTCGTCTTGCATGACGAGTGCCAATACTAACCATATATAGATGGCTAAGTAAACAGCTGAGTAGACGGCAGCCATCTTAAGTCCTATTCCAAATATCACATAGCCGGCAAAATAGACAGCTTCTAGATTATGCATCGGAGACAAAAACGATGGAGGCTACTTTGCTGTCCGAAGAAGATTGTGGCTATAGCGACGTCCTCGGATATAGCTCAAATCTCGCTGCGATGGTCGTCTGCGTACACTCAAACGCTTTTTCATGCTCTTATTGTGAGCTACGTTCCACTTTTTGTGCCTTCGAGTGCGAAAGAGTTCAGAGAAGTAACATGTACGTCGACGCGAGGTGGCATGACGTTGCGTAAACGTCTTCTAGATGCGTTCCATTCGTCGGACATTTCGGGATCAATTCTATCTTCGAAGCTGTCAGTGCAGGCTATCTACAATGCTGTCCAGAATTGGGACACAGCCTATGTTGGCGGTCATACTGGCTCTGTAAGAGACACGTTGTTTTGAGATAGAGCGTCGCCATTCGTGGCCTATGCGGGCAACCAATGGGAAGGAATCATTGCGATGCTGCTGCATTCTCTGCTTCTGAGGGGTACTAGAGCTCTGAAGCGGCGGTGGCCATGACTCGAGCCGCAATAAAGGAGCACGAAAGAACAAATCTGACTGACGCGTGATATCGGAGAGGCAGTTTGTCTACCGTACACATCACCATGGGAAAGCGCTACGACATACGTGTGATGCCCTACGTGGCATTGCATCACGACACTAAGGCGCACAGATGGCTCCAACTGAGGAGGCAGAGTTTCCATTGGCATTGAAAAAAAAATAGAGAGAAGGCGTTGCCAGGTTCAATGGTACTACTATTGGTACAACTTGGTTAGGGTTGGCTGGCTAGAACTAACACCAACATTTTTATCTGTTTATTTATTTATTTATTTATTTATTTATTTACAAATACCTCACAGGCTCTAAGTAGGAGTATTATGTGAGGAGGACTACACAATAATTATTTGAAAAGAGCACAAAACAAACGAAAAGAATTTAAAAACCACGTATTATACAATTGCTGAAATGTTCGATAACATACATGGTAGTAACATGACACTAATATGCGTTATACATTTTTGAACGGTTTGAGGCCTTTCGTTAAAATTTTCACCAATGTCATTGTTAAAAAAACCGACTGCACGTTTTTGAAGATGATTACGTCATTACAGCACGTATAAAATGCATGAAAGAAAAATTTGTCAAACCTTTCACAACTTTGCTTCCGAAACAGATGTTACAGAGGCGCGGCCTTCTTGAGTGGTTCAATCGTGTATGTGGTCCGCAAGCATCGTAAAACGTCCCGACATTTAGCCACAAAACCTTCGTAATTGGCATTAGAAGGGAAAGTTTGTTAACGTGATGCAGTCGCCACTTACCTCACAGCACCACTCGTTCATAACCATCGCTTCGGCACGCAGTTACAACGCTGCTGTGAACGGCTGCCTGAAGATTTTCGGACCCAGAGCCCTCGGATCGGTGAAGCTCAGGATAATCGTTGTAGTCTTACCGTTGTATCAGTAGCTGTCACTGACCACGATATTCGTTTCACGGGATGAGCAGATTTTATTTTGTTGATTCTTTCTTTCGGTTTACAATAAAATTCGTTGTGTTGAGCTTCTATCGGATATTCAATTCGATATGCGACATTTTTTACCCCTATTCGGCATTATTCTATTCTAATTTAATTCGAGATGAAATTTTTACTATTCGTGCACCCCTAAGCTACAATGAAATTCCCTAAGTTCGAGGTCGACGACGACGAAGTGTATTTCTACCGAACGCTGCCTATTTCGTTTGGTGTTTTTTGTGTGAATTTACGTTCTATCCGAGGATCATCGCTCTCCTGCGGGCAGCGATGGATCCAGGCCCCACCGTACGCAATCTGGACTTGGCGTCACCTTCGACGTCAACCTCAAGGAAGCGCAACAGCCGGGAGGACGACAGCACTAGTGACAGCACTGAACTTTACACGGCGAGTAGTGAAGACAGCGACGAAGATTTCATCCCTGCTGTGAAGCGTAAAGCTAAAAGAAGAATGGTCGGCGCGTCTTCGCCAGCTAGCGTATCTACCGTGAAGGCGGCGTGCAGTTCTGAACGCCATACCATACTTTTAGATGCGGAGCATCTAATACTCGAGGCTTGTAGTGTGGCGCCGTCCGCAAGCTTCCTCCTCCTTCTTCTACCATCTGTGCATCCCTTCCTCCTCTACACACCGCGCGCGCTTCACTCCTCCACCATCTGTGCACCCTTCCTCCTCTACACACCGCGTGCGCTTCTCCTCTTCACGAACATTCGCTAGCTGTATAATGTAGCGCGCATGCGCCGTCACGCTTCGAGAACATCGGCAGCTGACGCGCGCGCATGCGCCGTCGCGCTTCGAGAACATCGGCAGCTGACGCGCGCGCATGCGCCGTTGCGCTTCTCCCCTTTCTCGAACATTCGACAGCTGACAGTGCATGCGCCGTCGCGCTGTATATATACTCAAGGTCGGTGCTCGCTCGCTCAGTTGCCGCTCGTCGGTTGGTTTGTACGGCGCGTCGACGTCCGAGGTCGCAATGATCGACGTCCCTTCGACCAGCGCCGGCCAAAGTGTTGGCGGAACCGCAACCAAGTCGTCGTCCGAAGACAAGGCAGCGCGGAGAAGAGCTCGCGACGCCGAACGTAAACGTCGGCGTCGAGCGGAAGATGCTCAACTTAGAGAACGTGAAGCCGCTGAGAGACGTCAGCGTCGAGCAGCAGCACCGGATTCGGCCGCTTTGAAACGTAAGCGTCGACAAGAGGACCCGGACTTTCGAAAACGGGAAGCCGAGTGCAAGCGTCGGCGACGAGAGGCCGATCCCGATGCTGCCCGCGAGCGCAAGCGCGCCGAGGTAGCGGCGTGGCGCGCCAAGCAGTATGCCACGCCCAACGCTCGCTTCAAGCGCGACTTCCTCGACCGAAGCTTCGGCCACACCTGCAACGTGTGTGATCGTCTTTGGTTCGATAACAACTTAACTCGGATCGGCAACATTCAGAACAACTCCAAAGCGTTGTCGGTTCTTTGCGATACGTTTGGAAAGGGCACCGACTATGCCGACTACGTCGTGTGTGCTACGTGCAAGCAGTCGTTGATTGCCGGTCGAGTTCCCTCGGCTAGCGTGAGTTACGCTCCGCATCCTCCTCAGTGTTCCCCCGAGGGAAGCTGCGGGCAATTTTTTTGTTCCTGTCGACTCTTCCATCAACCTGAAGAACAGAACAGGCAAGTGATATCAGCGCGTCTCGAAGCTATCGTGCCTAATGAGATAAAGGATATTAGACTCAACTTACGGAAGAATATCCTGGCCATAGACGTTGAGCACCCGGCTGCGCTACATACCC